AGAAAATATTTGTAATTTATAAATCTGATAAGGGTCTAGTATCCAGAATGTATTAAGAACTCTTATATCCAGATAACAGAATGACAGACAGAAAAGTTGCCCAGCGTCATTAATCATCAGGGACATGCAAATCAAAACCACAGTGAAATGCTACTTCACACCGATTAGAATGGCTGTAATCATAAAGACAGAGAACAAGTGTTGGTGAGGATATGGAGAAACTGGAACCCTCATATGCTGCTATGTTGAGAAGCTAGTGTATTAAATTAAGAATATGCAAATTATGGGCAGCTGAAAGAGGAGGCACAAGCCACCCACGTGGGGTCGGCATCCATGCTCCCACTTTGGGGAAAGACACACCCTGGGATCACTTTGATTGAAGGTGCAGTTGCAATACACCCACATGCAGTAGGTAAAGTCACAAGACTTGTTGCTTACAGAAATGGGGGTTGGGGGGAAGAGCAGTCCTCTGTCACAGGTTGCCAGCAAGCAGGAGATAGAGAGCAGGGCAGTAAGCACTTAGTACTTACAAGGTGGTTTCAGGCCCAATTCTAAGTGGTTATTTTAAAAGGTTATTTTTTACTGGGAAAAGCAAAGTGGGAACGTGGGTTGGCAATCCTCAGCTTGAGTCCTTATCTAAATGTCCAGACTCTGAGTGTGAGCAGGGCTGTCATACTGTCAAATGCCGAGGCAGCAACTCATCATCACATCTGGTAGGAAAGTAAAACGGTGGAGCCACTTTGGAAAATAGTCTGGCAACTACTCAAAAGGTTAAGCATAGAATTACCGCGTAACCCAGCAATTCCACTCCAAGGTTTATATTGAGAAAAATGAAAACATACTTCTAGTAGCGGGGGAGGGATAAATCAGGAGTTTGGGATGAACATACACACACTACTGTACATAAGATAGATAACCAACCACGACCTACTGTATAGCACAGGGAACTCTACTCAATAGTCTGTGATAACCTATATGAGGAAAGAATCTAAAAAAGAATGAATATGTGTATAACTGAATCAGTTTGCTGTATAACTGAAACTAACACAACATTGTAAATCAACTATACACGAATAAATTAAAATAAAAAAAAAAGAGGGCTTCCCTGGTGGCGCAGTGGTTGAGAGTCCGTCTGCTGATGCAGGGACGAGGGTTCGTGCCCTGGTCCGGGAGGATCCCACGTGCCGCGGAGCGGCTGGGCCCGTGAGCCATGGCTGCTGAGCCTGCGTGTCCGGAACCTGTGCTCCGCAACGGGAGAGGCCACGACAGTAAGAGGCCCGCGTACCGCAAAAAAAAAAAAAAAAAGAAAAAAGAAAGCATACATCTATACAAAAAATTGTACGTGAATGTTCATAGCAGCGTTATTCATAATAGCCAAAAGGTGAATACAACCAGGTGTCTTTCAATGTGGCATGGCCATACAGCGGACTACTACACTGTGATAAAAGTACTGACACAGGCTACAACATGGATAAATCCGGACAATAGTATTCTGATTGTAAGGAGCCAGATACAAAAGGCCGCATATTGTATGTCTCCATTTACAAGAAATGTCCAGAACAGGCAAATTTATACAGACAAAAAGTAGAAAAGTGAGGGAGGGGGAAATAGGGAGTGACTGCTACTGAGTAGGGGGTTTCTTTCTGGGGGGATGAAGTTCTAAAACTGGATAGTGGTGATAGTTGTACAGCTTTGTGAATATGCTAAAAACCATCAACTTGTTCGCTTTTGTGGTCTGTGGGTTATGACTCAATAAGAAAAAGTCAGGTTGTTAAGAGAGCTCTGTTGTGCTCAGTTTCCGTCTTTTTTTCCGAAGCCCACTTTAGGAAGGTTTTTTTTTTTCCTTTATTATTATTTATTTATTTATTTGGTTGCACTGGGTCTTAATTGTGGCTGGCAGGCTCCTTAGTTGTGGCATGCAGACTCTTAGTTGTGACATGCAAACCCTTAGTTACAGCATGCATGTGGGGTCTAGTTCCCTGACCAGGGATCTAACCCGGGACCCCTGCATTGGGAGTGCAGACTCTTCACCACTGCGCCACCAGGGAAGTCCCAGGAAGGTGTTAGACTTTGTGTCAATTAGCTACTTCTCTGCCTCTTCTGAATGCTCTCAAAGTCAAGGCAAAATTTGCCTTCCTAGGCTGAATTGTGCCTACAACATTCCAGGTAAAAACGTAAAGGAACAAAACATCTTGCCCACATGCACCCTGGGCCTGTCTTCCTTGAGTGTCTGGTCTCTGAGCTAAGAGACGTGTCAGGAGTAAGAGGTTCCAGCATCAGGTTTGGAAAATGTGGCAGTTAAACACGTTTCTTAATGTTGAGCAGGTAACGTGTTATTAGGTACATCCTATAACCCCCACACACCCAAAATATTTTAGTGGAGCACACTCTTTGAAATTGCTGTAGGAGTCAGTATTTTGAAATTTCAAATTGGAAATTTGGAAGTCAGTGTCTTGAAATCTTAATCAGATTGTTGTTATGTGTTAACACCACTGGATGTAATAGATACTAAATCATTTCTTTATGACTAATGTTTTTAATTTTCTCACAACTTAGCTTCCACCCTTTGCAGTTTGTCAGATCCTCAAAGTGTGGTCTGGAGACCCCCGGGGTCCCTGAGACCTTTTCAAGGGGTCCTCTGAGTCAGAACTATTTATTCTTATTTGCATGAGTCTATGTACGGTAGGCTTTCCAGAGGCTCTCTGTGTGTGATATCTTAACAGATTGAATGCCATTAAAAAGATTTATAAAAATGTAGAACACTGCCACCCTTTTCATTATTTTTTTTGGTTGTTTTTAAAAATGTAGTTATTTTCCATTAAACAGTGTTGTTTGTGTTAATATGTAATGGGTTTGTTGTTGTTTTAAGATGAATTCATATATACTTCAAAAAATTTCTCCATTTTAATTTCTAATTTGATAAATACTGATAGATATAATCTCAATAAACAGTAACTCTTTAGGTCTTCCTGAAATCAAAAAGTTTAGAAACCACTGATCAAGGTAATTAATGAGGGAATTCCCTGGCGGTCCAGTTAGGACTCTGTGCTTTCATTGTGGAGGGTGAGGGTTCAGTCCCTGTTCGGGGAACTAAGATCCCACAAGCCATGTGGCGTGGCCAAAAAAAAAAAAAAAAAAGTAATTAATAAGCAATTTGTCAAGTTTAATACACTAAAGCCAGATTAATGGCTTTATCTCAAGTATCCTAATTGAGAGCCTTAAGATCTGCATTCTTTTATTTATTTGTTTGTTTATTTATTTTTGGATGCGGTGGGTCTGCATTGCTGCGTGGGCTTCTCTCGTTGTGCTGAGCGGGGGCTACTCTTCATTGCGGTGCATGGGCTACTCATTGCAGTGGCTTCTCTTGTTGCGGAACATGGGCTCTAGGCGTGCAGGCTTCAGTAGTTGTGACACGCAGGCTCAGTAGTTGTGGCGCACGGGCTTAGTTGCTCCGTAGCATGTGGGATCTTCCCCGACCAGGGCTCGAACCTGTGTCCCCTGTGTTGGCAGACGGATTCTTAATCACTGCACCACCAGGGAAGCCCCAAGATCTGCATTTTTGAATGGTTTTAAATCAGGTGCTTTCTCTCTGATGTTTAACCTACCATATCTGTTTCACAAGATTGTTTGAATGCAGTTGGAATAGATAGGAAAAGTGCTTTTAGGTTTTGGCTTTAAAAGATGTCATGTAGGGCCTCCCCAGTGGCGCAGTGGTTGAGAGTCTGCCTGCCGATGCAGGGGACACGGGTTCGTGCCCCGGTCCGGGAGGATCCCACATGCCACAGAGCAGCTGGGCCCGTGAGCCATGGCCGCTGAGCCTGTGCGTCGGAGCCTGTGCTCCTCAACGGGAGAGGCCACAACAGTGAGACGCCCGCGTACTGCAAAAAAAAAAAGATGTCATGTAAATATCATTAGACCGTGGGAAAGTAGAGAGTTACTAAAAGCATTGGCTTCTTTTTAGGATACGTGTTATAATCTGTCCACTGTAAGTGGGTTAATAATGCGGCAGTCAGTATCTCTGGCTATTAAACCACGTCTCATTTTGACTGTTAATTCTTAAGTCATTCGGCAGCTTTTGAAATACCTGGAAGCTTTCATTTTCATGCATTGATTAAACACCAGATTTATTTAAAAATTGAAGTATACTTGGTTTATAATATTGTGTTAGTTTCAGGTGTACAGCAAAGTGACTCAGTTTTATTTTTTTTCAATTATTTTCCATTATAGGTTATTACAAGATATTGAATATAGTTTCCCTGTGCTACACAGTAAATCCTTGTTGTTTATTTTATATATGGTAGCGTGCATCTGTTAATCCCATACACCTAATTTATCCCTCCCCACTTTCCCCTTTGGTAACCATAAGTTTGTTTTCTATTTCTGTGAGTCTGTTCCTGTTTTATAAATATGTTCATTTGTACTATTTTTTAGATTCCATGTATAAGTGATATCATATAATAGTTGTCTTTCTCTGTCTGGGTTACTTCACTTAGTATGATAATCTCTGGGTCCATCCATGTTGCTGCAAATGGCATTATTTCATTCTTTTTTATGGCTGAGTAATATTCCATAGTAGATTATATACCACATCTTCTTCATCTGTCGATGGACATTTAGGTTGCTTCCATGTCTTGACTGTTGTGAGTAGTGCTGAAATGAACATTGGAATGCATATGTCTTTTCCAATTAGAGTTTTTTTCAGATATATGCCCAGGAGTGGGATTGCTGGATCATATGGTGACTCTATATTTAGTTTTTTGAAGAACCTCCAGACTGTTTTCCACAGTGGCTGCACCAATTTACATTCCCACCAACAGTGTAGGAGGGTCCCCTTTCTCCGCATCCTAACACCAGATTTTAATGTTGGATTTGCAAGTCTAAAAGAAGGCAGACTCTAACCTTTGATTGATATAAGCTCATAAGATTTAAATATCTTTCCACCTATCGCTGAGGGAAAATATTAAGTAATATTAAAATGTTACCTCTGTTTTTATTCACAGTTGGGGCTAGACTTGGAAGAACTGGAGGAAATAGAAGAGGATGCCGGCCTGGGGAACGGAGGCTTGGGGAGGCTGGCAGGTAACCCCAGGCTCCTGTCCAGGACAGACCTTTCCTGACACAGTGCCTTGGTCAGAGAGCAGCACGTGGCAAGGCCAAGATCAGCCATGCTCCCAGCACTGGTCCGTGGGGATAGATTGGTCCCTCAGAGTGGATGGGACACTGTGTCCTCTGGGTCAAAATCTTTGCCACCAGTAGGGGAAAAAAATGCAAATTATATATTCTCTTTCACACAAAGGGCGCTTCATAATTATGGTGACCAGGCTTGCCAGTATTGGGGAACTGGTGCCAGGAGGGGTTTGCAATATACCAACCACCTCCATAGCCAGTAACTGGGAGAAGGACAGAGGGCTAGAAACACACACGCACAATTTATGAATGTAGCCCAGCGTAAAGCAACTGTTCCTGCTTTACTGCAGTAAACAGATTGCTCTAAAATAGCAGAGCTGTTTCTCTGGGAGCTACTGCTCCTTTGGGCCACCTATTTGAGAATATACCCAGTTTGAAGTTTGTGGGGGTTTTTTCTGTTTTAATTATTTTCGCCAGCCTTTATGAGGGGGAAGGAGCTGGGTTAAGAACTTGGAAGTGGAAACAGCAGTCACAGTGAGATTTGATGTCACTGTGTCCTTCAAGGCTTTTGGGCACAGTGCTTCTGGAGCAGAGATGATCAAGTTCTGTGCTGCCCTTGTGTGTACGGGGCCCTAAAGTGATACACTTTGCATTACTGCCCCTTTTGAGAGCTGTCATTTTGTAAAGGGAACAAATGCCCTAAAATTTATCTGGGTGAGTTGTGTGTATGTGTTTATGTTTTCAGAATTTAAGTTAAATTCTTCAGAAATTATAAGCGCAGCGTATGTTTCTGTCCAACACAGCAGCACCCGGCTCTAGGTTAACCCTCGGCCAGGCGTGCCCCGCCTCCAGGGGAAAGGCCGTGTGTGCCCCACTGGCGGGTGTGGGCTCTGTGTGGCCTGCGAAGGTGAGGTCACACGCACCACGCTAAGCCGTCGCTTCCCGCTGCAGATGGCGTTACAGCGTCCAGGCCGGCAGGCAGAGGGCAGCCCCTCGGGCTTCGGTCCCCTTCGCCCTGACGGCATTCCGTTCAGCGTGGTCATCTCCCCACTTAGTCCTTGCTCAGTCAGTAAAAACTGAGGTAAAAACCCAAGCTCGAGCGAAGCTCCAGGCCGCCGGCCGCCGGCGTGTCAGCTCGTGGGCCGTTCCCGCCCCCGCGGGTCCTCAGGCCGCTCAGGCTGCTTCGCGTCCACTCCAGGCACCTTTCCTGCCACTGGGCGGCGCCACCGGCCTTCCCTCTGGACTCGTCTGGGCCTCTCAGCTTCCACGGCTCCCCTTGCCGTGCAGACCCGGGACACCCCCAGCCTGCGGTAGCTCGTGTGCGGCGTCCCTCCCGCGACAATGATTTCCTCAGAGCGAGAGCCCAGGCCTTAGTTTGTGGGTCTTCTTGTTGCTCCTCAGCAGAGGGCCTGACACCCCCAGGTCTGTGCATGTTTGGTAAATTGGCATGTGTCTTATGTGCTGGTGTTTCGTCGTTAAAATTTTGTGTTCTTTTTAATCCACAAGTTTAATGAGTCTGCCTTCTGAATCTTTATTCAAATCATGGTGGTTTGCTTTCAAGACGTTTTGATCGGAGCAAGGGCTCCATTTGGAGGCCCCTTCCGGGGGCCCTGGTGGCACTTTGGCACCTGGGTATTTGGTGCTGTGGGTGCTGAAATGTACATTTGCAGGCCCCACTTCTGTGCCCTCTTTACCAGTATGTGGGCAGATGTTTTGTGATGTTGCTTGGATTTCAAGTAGAACGTGCGAGGGTGGGGAGGCCTGCAGCCTGAGTGAGGGTCCCTAAGAGAACGTTGGCAGGAGGGGACAGTGTGTTGAGATGAGCTGAGTTTGGCAGTGTCCTCTGTCGGGTTCGTCCCTCTTCCCACACCCCCAGGTAGCCCCCGTGTTGATGTTGTCTTGTTCTGGCCCCGGGCTCTCAGGCCGAAGGGCATCAGAGTGGGGTTCCATTTTCCTTTTCATGAGACCTGAAGGTGACCGGTCAGCACTGGGCCCCTGCCTGACGCCCTGGGGGCCGGCCCTCCGGCACCTACTTGACTTGGCGTCTGGGCCTTGGCTCCAGAGGCCTTGGGTCTACTGATCGTCTTCGATCCCAAGAAGTTCTTTGTGTTTGGACTTTCAGCCTGCTTCCTTGACTCGATGGCCACCTTGGGCCTGGCGGCGTACGGCTATGGAATCCGCTATGAGTTTGGGATTTTCAACCAGAAGATCGTCAATGGCTGGCAGGTGGGTGCGAATTCCTTCCTTTGCTCACTTGCGGCTCTCGTGCGCATGAGAAAATAGCCAGGCACCGTCAGTTCTGTGTTTGGACTTTCTGCTCCTCCTGGAGAGGCTGCGTGCCGGTCCTCGGCAGGGCAGAGGGGGGCAGGTGGGCAGTGCTGGGAGTTCTGGGCACTCCATGCTTTCCACATCGTCCCCACGGCCGGCAGTGCCCGTCGCCCACATGTGCTCATTGCACACGGCTTCTGTGTGGCGACAGGACGTCTGGTGGGCTGGGGCCAGAGCCCAGCTGGGCCTCACAGGAGACACTGTGGGTTGAGGACGCCACCAGCTGGTGTTGTTTTCTGTCGTCTCTCACAGAGCGAAGGCACCCCCCAGCCCAACCCCACCGCAGAGGAGGATTGGCCTGGAGTCGCTAGGAGAACAGCTATTGCAGGCTTTGCTCCCACCTGCCCTCGCTGACACCAGCGAGGTGGTGGCGTCCTGTGGGGTTAGGGGCTGGACTCTGCAAAGCAATGTGGCTCTTAGGAAGAATGAGCCTCAATTCTAAAGCGTCAAGCAGAGAAGTAACACGGTCAAGACCCTGCTGGTAAACGGGGGGACTCAAAACGCAGTCCCACCTTCCTTCTCTTAGGTGAGGTGGGCGTTTCCCCTCACTTCGGCATTTCAGAAAGGAAGGCAGCACTCTTCCACTTGGGTGGAGAATAGTTTAAATAATTTGGGGTCTAAAAGTCACAGATAAAGCAGGGCTGGAGTTAGGATCAAAAAGCTGGTAACAGGAAAGTCGTACAGTCTGAACGAAGAAGCTAATGATCGGGGTGATGGAAGTGTCCTCTGTCTTGATGGGATTTGGGTCACACAGGTGTGTGCAATTGTCGGAACTCACCAATGTTGGCCTTAAGATGTATGCATTTCACTGTGCGTCTGTTAACCTAAAAAATAAACACTGTGATGGACTGTCCTTAATGACATGCCTGCTGAAGTGTTCAGGGGAAGAGTGGACAGATGTCTGGGATGAACTGCTCACTTTGAAATGCATCAGAAAAGTAATGGATGGATGGAAGGAGACGTGGTTATCAAGTATAGCAAGATGGAAGCAGTGACAGAGCCTAGGTGGAGGGTGTGCAGTTCACTGTCAATTCCTTGGCATTTCTGTGTGTTTGAAAACGCTCATAATAAAACGTTAGCCAAGAAAATTATGGCCAAAAGGAAAAGGAAACAAAACAGATTTGTAGCCACTGGTTAATTTATAGAAATACTCCCTGTGACCTTGAAAGGAGACATGCACTTTTCCTCCTACCACCTTCTGGGTGATTTTAGTCACAGTTCTTTTTGTTCTTTTTTTTTCTTTTTCTTTTTTTTTTTTTATTTTTTGGCCACACCTCGCTGTATATGGGATCTTAGTTCCCCAAGCAGGGATCGAACCTGCAACCCCTGCATTGGCAGTGCGGAGTCTTAACCACTGGACCTCCAGGGAATTTCCTAGTCACAGTCATTTATGTGAGTGTTTCTGTCAGATGTGAGCCAGCCTTTGTACGTGTGTGGTCTGTGGCCCATTCTAGCTCTTTCGTAGTCGAGGCGATGTGTGTGTTTGTAAGACAGAGACTCTGAGGCTCCTCCCTGGCTGGTGGGTGTTACGGTCGTAAGGAGGAAGGTTTTGGTGGTGGTTTCTGTCTCTGTCTGTTTGACCACAGACACTTCTTCCTTCTGGTTCCCTGTTCCTGTGCCTCTTGCCATCATGCGTAACAATTTAAAGACAGTCCTAGGTTGATAGGCCGGTGGTAAACTTGCCAACTCCCACGCTTCTGTCAAGGGAGCTGCTCAGTCAGAATGCTTTTAGCAGAGTTTAGCTGTAGCACAAGTAAATGTGGGCAGTGGTCACAAAGCAGCATTGGTGGCCAACGGGGGCCACAGACCAGCCTTCCTATCAGAGAAGGGGCTCCAGAAGGGAGACCCCCTTGCCTCATGCACTTGGGAAGATGCTGCTTCTGCAGACAGCTCATTGAACTGCTCTGTGGAGAAAGCCAGGCTCTGATGTTGGAATCTCACTAACGTACAGGAGGTCAGAGGCAGGACCCGTCCTGTGATGAGTATCTGCCTGCACCAGGCAGAACAGTCCTGCGGGGAGTTCTGTGGAGATGGGCACAGTGAAGCAGTAACCTCAGCCACGTCACTGTCCTAAAAGCATGACCCAGATGCTCCTTCTGGGGACTTGACTTCCTTCTGTCTGTGACTTGGCCGTCCTGGACGTGTGGTGTAGACAGG